CTTCTTCATGTCTCTTCTACATCAACATGTGTCCCCTCTTCTTCATGTCTCTTCTACATCAGATCTGAGTACTTCTACTTTTACTCAAGTACAAGATCTGAGTACTTCTACTTTTACTCAAGTACAAGATCTGAGTACTTCTACTTCTACTCAAGTACAGTCTGGTACTTCTACTTCTGGTACTTCTACTTTTACTCAAGTACAAGATCTGAGTACTTCTACTTTTACTCAAGTACACAATCTGAGTTCTTCTCCCACCTCTGTAAAAGAAAAGGTGAAAATAAAGTGAGGTATTTGTTTAAAGTTGTCCTGTGAGAAATGCTGCGTAATAATTTATCTCCCCCTCTCACACACACACACACACACACACGTGTATAATCTCACACTGCCAGTTCCCTTGGAAACACATTGTTATCAGCAGGGTGTAGCTGCTGAATTATTCCAATCCCCTTCAAAACTAGAGACTCTGATCAGATTACTCGTACGTTTTCCTGTCTCACCGCCCCTCAACTGAAAACCCTCTGCTGGGTGTGTTGCAGCCGGTTACGTAACCCTGTGTTATGTAAAGGGCATGCCTGAACGCACCATTTCTACATGAGGTGTCTGTGTGAGAAACAGCAGATTAGCTCCCAATGCAACTTTGTATACTGTGTAAACTCTTAGTTATGGTAAATTGTGAATCAGCTTACAGATCCACACAGTTGGGTTATTCGTCTTCCAACGTAAAGAAAGTTTAATCTGCCAAATGTTTATTTGAACTCTTCTCAGTTTGATTAAATGCTTAAAGGACACGTGTCCCTCTTTAAATCGACACCTTACAACTTGTTTTAAACACAATGTTAGGCCTTGGTTTGGATTGTGTCGAATGCATTGAAGGAACATGATGTACACTTTCCTGGATGCTCTGGATCTCTCCTGCCACCTTGTGGTACATTTCAGCAGTGGTTTCCAACATTTAATTAGACATGGGGGGGGGTACACCGTGGACCTCTGTGTCGCCTATCAGCTCAACATTGCCGTTTAAACAATATAATAATAAAGGGCGGTGCCGGCCGTCAGCGAACCGATCCGGCCTTTCTGCGCAACTGTCACTCAAATGCGGGACAAATAATAAAAATGCTGTGTGTGCGGGACATTGGTCACACACACACAGTGCTGCCCCTCACACACACATGCTTCAAATCAAGTTGCATAAATGCTTGAGCTACGTTTTTATTTTAAATTAATTACTGTGAAATCTGCATATTATGAACTAACACTTGCAACTGATATCATTGGCAATGATTTTATATTTATTAGACTGAAAAAAAAAATCATGCTTCCCCCCCCGCGTCCAACGCCCACTGGACGTAACCCCTCAACCCTTTCAGATGAAGTACCTCAAACATCCAAACATGTCAATTACAATTATATCAATGAGGTATTAGTCTTAATGGTTTAAAAAGTGGATGATTATATAAAAAAGTATCTATCAATTATTTGTAGCTATTTCAACCGGGGTTGCTCGATATTGGAAACAGACCGACTTTGCCATATTGTTTTTCTCCTGCTGTGTTTCCACTATAAAGAATGCAGGACTTTGGACTAGTCTGTGGTCAAAATATCACCGTAAACTGAGGTTGCAATTCTTTTTGCAACCAAATCTTACTCTAATAAACTCTTTGCAATCCAAGCAGCCTTGTATTTTAGTAAATGATGTGCTAACTATTTCAACCATTTAGAAGTTACTACTCTCATAAGCCCCGTTTTAACTCACTCTCTGTGGATTTTTTTGTATTCATATCCTTTTCAAAACATTTGAGCTTCCCCAAATGTCCAATGTTCCTCTGGTTTTAAAGTGATCTAGCCCCTTGTTGGGAATCGGTGCGTAACGGCCCGTCCACACAGCGGCTTTGGAAAAGCTTGCCGGGGGCGTGTCTGAAGCGCGACCAACAACCAATCACATGAATCTCCCGCCCCTGACACACAAGCAGCGGTTTGATTGGCTAGAGCTTGTACTGGCATATGATTTGATTGGCTGACGCTTCCGAAAGCTTCAGAAGCTTCAAGAGTTGAACATTGCTCAACTTTTGAAGCTTCCAACGCCGCGTGTGGACGGGCCGTTACAGTCACTGATCGTAATCGTCTCGTTTCCTTTCCATCCTGATCCCTTTCTCACTTTGTTCTTCATCCCTCCTGTCACCTTTTCTCTCCTTCATCCTCTCCTCCTCTACCTCCCCACCCTCTTTCCTCATTATTCCTCCTCTCAGGGCCGCGGGGGTAAGAAGTTCCACATCGAGCTGAAGGAGATCATGGAGCGCGACCCTCTCTCTCAGCTGTGTGAGAACGAGAAGGATCTGATCTGGACGCTACGCTACGACTGCAGAGAGAACTTCCCTCAGTCGCTGCCCAAGCTGCTGCTGTCCGTCAAGTGGAGCAAACACGAGGACATGGCCCAGGTTAGAGACCTCTACATCAACATGTGTCCCCTCTTCTCCATGTCTCTTCTACATCAACATGTGTCCCCTCTTCTTCATGTCTCTTCTACATCAACATGTGTCCCCTCTTCTCCATGTCTCCTCTACATCAACATGTGTCCCCTCTTCTATGTCTCTTCTACATCAACATGTGTCCCCTCTTCTTCATGTCTCTCTACATCAACATGTGTCCCCTCTTCTTCATGTCTCTTCTACATCAACATGTGTCCCCTCTTCTTCATGTCTCTTCTACATCAACATGTGTCCCCCATGTGTCCCCTCTTCTCCATGTCTCTTCTACATCAACATGTGTCCCCTCTTCTTCATGTCTCTTCTACATCAACATGTGTCCCCTCTTCTTCATGTCTCTTCTACATCAACATGTGTCCCCTCTTCTTCATGTCTCTTCTACATCACCATGTGTCCCCTCTTCTTCATGTCTCTTCTACATCAACATGTGTCCCCTCTTCTTCATGTCTCTTCTACATCAACA